AGGTGAACCCAACACGATATTAGTCTTTGGGTTCTTAGAAAACTTCTTACTATCTTTTCTCTATAACTTTTAAAACATAAGTTACGAGGTCTAAAACTTACAAAAGTTTCTCTTATACCTTCTTGAGCTGACTTAAATTATCTTTAGTTCAGTTGTTTAGAGATCAACTTATTTTCAGGATCCCTTGACCCATAGTTCTTAACAACGATTGACATCTAAAGAACAAAAATTCTCATAATTGATAAAATAATCACAAAATCAACAATGTTAAACTTTTATTACTTCTCTATTTTTACAATATATTTTTTAATTATATTTTGCATTAATATTTTTATAAATATTATCAATTAATTAAAAATATTTTTTTTGAAGTTCATTAAATAAACTCTTTTTTTTTCTTCTTAAATTAAGATTGGAAAATATCGATAGACACAAATTTCAAATGATGTTTAATTAAATGGGAAACAAATAAGCGAAGAAATAGATGATTAATTTTAAAATATTAAAAGGAGTTTTTGAAGAAAAATTAATTTAAATTATTGAAAAATTTAATATCATTGACTAAATCAATATTTTAGCTTGTACAATGCATATGCTAAATATTTATTATATCACTAAAATTTATAAATTATATATGCATATAAATATTATACTTAAATATATAAATTGTATTTATATATATGATAAATAATTTATATTATAGCACAAAATTATTTTTATCTATTAATAATTTACTTTAAAAATATTAAAATTTAATTCATAAATAAAAACAAAATTAGTTAAAAATTTTAAGAATTATTTCAATTTCTCTCATAAAAAAATTCTAAAAATACTCTTATGTAAAATAGTTAATCGAATTTAATATATAAAAATTGATTAACTAATATTTTTAAAAAAATGTACAATGATATGTACAAAGGGATGCAATACTTTTGAATATATAAATTAAATTATAATTATAATTTGTATCAAATAATTATTTTAAATATACAAATTATATTTTAGATTTATGATAACAAAAATTGATATTGTGTTACAAAGATATTTTAAAATATTAGTATTTTTTAAAATTATTGGAATTTAATTTAAAAAAAGATAAAAGAATAAGTTAAAACATATAAGAGACTAAGAAAAAATCACAAAAAAACTCTTCTTAAAAATATATTGCTTTTAAAAGAATAACTCCTAAGCACACTCTAAATTAAAATAGTTATTTTAATTTATATATACAAAATTTAATATTTTAACCATTACAATATATGGGATAATTTTTTAATTAATATAACTAATAATAATAATTAAAATTTTAATATATAAATTATGTTATAATTTAAATTTTAGTAAATAAATATTTTTAAGCATACAAATATTTGAAAAAAGCATAATGTTTATACCCAACTGTGTGAAAGTGAGGAACTCAGGCTTGCTGAGTCTCTTTCCTTGAAATTCCCATCCAATTTGAATCTTGTGCTAACTGTCCACTTCCACATTCAACAACTTTTTTAGCTTAGCTGCCATTAGTTACTACTTGGAAGAACTTGCTTCAAATTTGCACTACCAGTACCGTATGCATATGCATGTAGGTAAGTCGAGGCCTATACTATTACTTTGAAATATAGGGCCTAGCTAGCTATTGGTGGCAGGGCTTATTGAGTGAGTATATATTTGAATTGCTACTAGAGGCCAGTTTTACGTAGACAAAACCTTTTACCATAATCATATATGCTCTCTAGTACAATATATGTGGATTCCACACACAAGTAATAATCATAAACACAAGAACTTTTGGTAATCTATTTCTGATCTGGCTAAGCCTAAGTAGCTAAGCTACATCATTTTTATTTCGCCAGGACCATCCTTTGCACTTGCAATTTGCAATGAAGGACCTTTCAAATTACACAACACTGAACAAACTCACATTCTTGTTTGTTATTTGTCAATTTCCTACCAATTTGATTAACATTTGTGGATAAAAGCACTTTTTAGATAGCGTAGTTGGTTCATATCTTAAATAAATGTGATTTTTTATGTCTCATATTTGAATTTTCAACTAAAAAGATCGTACAATTTTTTTAAACTTTTCGTTTAACATAAAATGTTTTTAATTTAATATTAATAATTTTGTTTGAGTGTTTTTCTTTGCTTCAAATGAGACCAGAAGTATCTGCTATACAAAACAATCTTACTTAACCTAAACCAAAAAATGTAAACAGGAAAGTTTTTCCTCCAAATTAATAATTAAATTTCTACTAATAAAATATGATATAATTGTTTTAAACATATAATCAAGAGTCCTTTATTGAAAGTAATCGATCCTTTAAATAAATTTTAGTATTTCGATAAAATATCTTAGTTTTTTTTATTTAAAGAAAAACCTTATTCAAATTTCGGCCTTAATTTTGTGTCACAATTCAAATTATCAAAGGTTTTTCGTTATGCTTCTTGCTAGGGATGAATTTAACATAGGATTCTTTGATATACAAGTACGACTTTATTATTTTAAACGCATCTACATTTTACATTTTTTTCAAATTTTTTTTTTATGTATAGATATTTTAGATTCCCATAGTTTATTTTGATGTGTAAGATTCTCTTTTGTGTTTCTGAGATATTATGAGATAATTAGACGATACTAGATTCTCACTTATTTAACGCTTGTATTAAAATATGACGGCAGCAAATTAAGAATGAGTATCGATCGCCAACCTCAATCGTGCATTGTGCATCTCTACATTGCTGATTATATCAAAATACTAATTTTAATTGTAACCATAATTAATTCTACAAAATCTAAAATCAATTCTATTAATACACATCTAAGCAGGGAATACTTCTTCATGTGTGTGTTTTTATTTTATTTTTTAACTTTTGCCCTTTATCACCCTTTATTAAGAGTTCTAGATATCTTAGGTTATATATATATATATATATATATATATATATATATATA